GTAAAGTTAATTTTGTTTAGGTGTGCAAAAAAGTATATTATCTCTGTTCGTCTCTCTCTAAAATTATATATTAACAAAATTATACATAGGAACTTGATTCATTATTATATTCTTATGAAGTTACATCGTACGCGACTTTGGTCTTCTCGAGTTGTTCATGGTTTCCTGGTTGGCTATTCGCCCGTAGTAGTAGCAGCATCAGCAATTATATGTAATTATCTTTATCGAAAGATCAAAATAATTAAATAGAAGGGGAGTAAATAAGAGACTCCTAATTCCTATTTTGAGCACAATTTTTGATTCTGCAATTTTACGATATGACTAAGATCCCAAATTGATGGCGAGTAAAACCGCGCAGTACATATAATTTTATATGTTTAAATTATTTCAGTGACTTTGATGAATCGTTTCAACGACACGAGCTTGGATTTTCTCCTTATTGACCTAGTGGTCGGACTATGACTACGGTTTACGGGCTCTGCGTTTGATTACCGGGCGAAACAATTGTCTATTTTAAACAAAATTAGTATTCGAGGTCTTAGTGTATACATATGTCCTTATCTCCTGTATATATTGTTGATTAATTTAACAAAAAGTGGTTTTAAAACTAGAATATTTGCTTAACTTAATCATCGACTCTTTTTCCTTTTAACAATACGATGCACACTTAAAATGTATTATGCCCAACTAATTATATGTAGGAATAAAACGTTAGATATGTAAAAATATATAAACAGTTTTCAACTGACAGATGATTATGCTGTTTCAGGTCACTGATAACGTAATGTGGTTCGATAAGGAACCCTGAATGTATGTTCCACTGTATTGTAATTTCGGCTTTGAGTATTGTCCGCACAGTGGATCAGAGTCGAGTGATTAGTTAGCCCGTACCTCTGTGACGGATTCGCTGCACGATCAGAGTATATTTGTTGAAAATATTTGGTATTCACGGGTCTAAATTGAAATTTTTCGATTCTCGCATGTTTCCAGATCCCATACAACAAACGAAAATCCTAGTTCTATGGCTACAGTGAGTTAGAGTTTTCGAAAAAAAACCAAAATTCCGTATTACGTGTATGAAAATTGTATTTGTAGAGAGAGAAGGCTTGCGGAGAGTACTTTATGGTAGGCAGCGGCTTGGCTCTGCCCCTGGCACTGCTGACGTCCATGAGCGACGGTGACCACTTACCATCAGGTGGGCCGTATGCTCGTCTGCCCACAAAGGCAATAAAAAAAAAAAAAAAAAAAGTTCCGTAGTTTAAGTAATGTTACAATTCAGAACCCTTTAATTTCATCCAGTACGGACTATTTCGGAAGCACTTCCTTTGATTAATGGTTACTGAACACTGACTCCTAAAGCCAATTCTAATAGTGAGAAAAAAATACTGAAATTTTGGAACCCTTTGAATTACCGTGATACTGTCGCAACTCCGGAACATTATGCTTAGTGCAAGTTTTCTTACGTTCTCGATAGCGTAAAAGTTAACTCAAATTTGTATGGAGTTGGAACGTTTGTCTACGTTTGCCGCTAGGGGCGCTGTTCCAACTCCATACTAATTTGAGTTAACTTTTACGCTATCGTGAACGTTAAAAGCTCGCACTAAGCATACAGTTCAATTGTAGAGACACTGTTCTGTCATTTGGTTACGCTTGCAAATAGATTAGTGGTTCAAGAGTAATCATACCTTACTTTGTACATAAACACCAGTGTATGTTTTTTTTTTATTGCTTACGTGGGTGGACGAGCTCACAGCCCACCTGGTGTTAAGTGGTTACTGGAGCCCATAGACATCTACATCGTAACTGCGCCACCCACCTTGAGATATAAGTAAGATCTCAGTATAGTTACAACGGCTGCCCCACCCTTCAAACCGAAACGCACCACTGCTTCACGACAGAAATAGGCATAGTGGTGGTACCTACCCGTGCAGACTCACAAGAGGTCCTACCACCAGTAATTACGCAAATTATAATTTTGCGGGTTTGATTTTTACTACACGATGTTATTCCTTCACCGTGGAAGTCAATAGTGAACATTAGTTAAGTACGCATTTCATTGGAAAAATTTATACCCGCCGGCGGGATTCGAACACCGTTGCATCGCTAGATACGAATGCACCGGACGTCTTATCCTTTAGGCCACGACGACTTCTAAACAAGTGACAAGCTACCGACAATACTCGTAATAACACTCCACATTAATAAGTACATTATAACTGTACTATAATTTGAAGTATCTGTGGCCTAACTTGTGGGGTGTCAAAAGAGGGAGAGAAGGATATATATCTTTTTGGAAAAACAAATCTATTAATTGTTTCGTTCATGGACGTCTTTCACAATGAAATCGTATATTTGAAGAATTTATAACAGTGTAATTATCAATGGATGGGTTTTAAAAAAAAAAACCGTTGGTGAGTGGTGTTAACCATTCCCATCAAGGGTGCCAACTGCTCATCTCTCTACCAAAAAAAAAGAAAAGCGGATTAATCATTGAGAATTAACCTTTCCGCCCATTTTTACCAACAAGCAATCTTATGTTCCGGTTCTGGTTAAATTAAAACAAAGAGACAAAAACTATCTATCTCTAGTCTAGTATAGTCTTCTGTTTATGTGTGTGTTCCGGAAGTTGTTCGCGGACCTCGTTATGTGGTACCACTACTTGACAATGGGGTGATCAGAGTTAAGTCCTGTCTCATATGGTGGATATCAGTATTCACCTTATGTGCCTAAAGGCTTCGGTCCCCACATAATAACGGATGGGTCGTCATATCTTTCAATATTTCAGTAACAAAAATGCTATAAGTAAAAAAAAACAAAATTTTTTTGTTATTTTATTTATTGCATAAGTAGATGGGTAGACGAGCTCACAGCCCACCTCAAGACATAAGTTACCATTAAGTAGTTACTGGAGCCCATAGGCATCTACAACGTAAATGCGCTACCCACCTTGAGAAATAAGTTCTAAGGTCTCAGTATAGTTACAGCGGCTGCCCCACCCTTCAAACCGAAACGCATTACTGCTTCACGGCAGAAATAGACAGGGTGGTGGACTCACAAGAGGTCCTACCATCAGTAAAAACTCCTACTCATAAGTGTATTTACTATTATTTACTGTTCACTCCAAGTTAAAATGTGATTAAACTCATTACGTTGTACTTGTGTATAATATTATAAAAACACAAAATGTAGTTGAGCTGATAATAGCTCAGAGGACAAATTTTAAGATAGTTGAAGAATGTTCCTATTATCACTATCATTATTGACTTTTTTTCTTTATATTATATTATATATTAACAGTTTTTTCTATGTAAAATTTTACCAGTCCATGGCAAACACAATCTAATTGCAGTCACCTTAAAATATAACATTGTCTACCTACTGTTATCCTAGCCTTTCAACTACATACATAGACTGCATGATTGATTCACCACTAAAAAAGCTTAAAATAATGTTTGGAAATTGATCAGCATTAGGAAGTTATGTCAAAAAATAGGTTACTGGCTACTGGGAGAGGTAGCCTTGAAATAGTAACAAAAGTAAGTAGTTAGCTATTTCATATTCAAAATATTAGTGAGGCTGCCGATGGGCAGCAATATACTAAAATAGATAAAAAAGTAAATAATACAAATACACACACACGCATACACTGATTATTTATTATTAGATATTACATGCATCTTCCATTGTCACAATGTGTGTGTAGTAAGGGATTGGAAACATATGTACATGTTTCATATTACAGTGTGTGGTACTTTTTCTGGGATTTTTATTACAAACTAGCTGACCCGGCAGACTTCGTAGTGCCTCAATCGATAAATAAAAGACCTAAACTTTTGTATAAAATAAACTTAAAACAAACAAAAGGAATCCATTTGACGGGGGACACATCATAGGGAAAACAAAATTGTTATTTTTATNGATTGGAAACATATGTACATGTTTCATATTACAGTGTGTGGTACTTTTTCTGGGATTTTTATTACAAACTAGCTGACCCGGCAGACTTCGTAGTGCCTCAATCGATAAATAAAAGACCTAAACTTTTGTATAAAATAAACTTAAAACAAACAAAAGGAATCCATTTGACGGGGGACACATCATAGGGAAAACAAAATTGTTATTTTTATTTAATTCTGATATTTTCATATTTATCTACCTCTTAAACCTTTTTTGGACTTCCATATATAATTCAAGACCAAAATTAATCAAATGGGTCCAACCGTTCTCGAGTTTTAGTAAGACTAATGAACAGCAATTCATTTTTATATACATACATCTCTTTCTATTCTTCATAGTTGGTACACTGTTGACAGAGTCATTTTGATTGTCATGTAGAATTAGAGGGATTTGATTTGATGTACCTCATGATATCCTACCCTCTCTCACCTCTTTCTATACTAAAAGCATAAAGTCAAAATGTATTTATGTTATTGGGCTGTGTGGTTATGCTTCACAACTATCTATAAGTTATTTTAATAGCACAGGGGAGCAGTGTTTTTATCAAAATTTAATTTTAATAATAAAGTAAGTATTTAATTAGTGGCAGTTGGAATTGTTGTGATATTATTTGTTCTTTACCTGAATGCTTCATATTTTTTTACTTACAATGTATTTTAATTTTAATATGTAGTTTTTTTTACTATGGTATATGTTTGTTTGTTTACTTGTTTAGCATCAATAAAAATCATATAAAAATGGTTTATATTATAACAGCTTTATTGTCAATGGCAAGAACATTTATAGCACTCTAAATAAGATATCTTCCAGGCGTAACGTAGATAATAATTACGGAATATAGTTATATTTCTGACTATGACCTTGTGCTGATGTTCGCCTTGAGAACAAATGTGTAAGGAAAACGACATTACAATGTTAAAGATTCAATCACGCGACTCTAGGTTGATACAAAATGAAATGTACTTTGTTATCAAACACACCAAATACAAAACGTAGACAAAATGATATTGGATAATCGCCAATAAAAACATAAATCAACTAACCTGATGTTATCTGTGGGTTTCTTCTCACCGCTAGCCTTCCCACGGACACAAAACTTAATCTTACACTACTCATTATTAAAATGTTTCTTCTTATGCAGCTTTTAACATCAGACTCGAACCGAACAGATCAACGCACAATAGAAATCACAGTTGCCGTACGCCGAGTCACAATTTTTGTATTTATTTGTCAGTGAGAGGTCTTTGTCATGACGCAACACTTTCAGTCAACATCAACACTGTTATTTTAAACAGAGATAATTTAAAACATAAGTACGAAAACTTCACTGTTATGTTTTTTGTTTAATGTGATTAGAAAAACAATTTTTTATTATTTATTTAAAAGAGCGGCCATACTGATGTTCACAGCTGATTTTGATGTGAAAGAATATGAAATTATCGAACCACGTTGTTTTAACGCTACCGCTCCCTATGGTTGTTCTTGTCAAATATTCAGCTGTTTTAGCAACATAACTATTTTATAATCTGTATTTTGTCTAATTTTCTTCTGAACATTAATTTTTAGATGGTATGAAAGTAACAGATGGCAGCACACTACTTTGTTTTTTTATTGATTTCTTGAGCTTATTCACTTCGCAGTGAGTTTATAATTTATGGATCTTGTACTGTTATTTTGTGTGTATTTGGTTTGAGCTTATGCGAAGTTTTACCGTCAAACTATAGAAGTTAAAACTCCTGTAACTTCTACTGAGATAGAAAAACTTGTGGCTCTTTTAAATCTGGAAGTCTAATATAAATCGAACACAAATTTACAGATCAGTTAGGTACAGAAAGTTTCCAACTCAGTCGACTAGTTGAAGCCAAGTTTATTGCCTACGAAAGGATTGGTTACTTTATCTCTTTTTGATACATTCTGCATTAGTCATCTAAATCAATAACTTTATAATCTTTAACTCATCTACGTTTATTCAATCTTAATCTAATCAATAATTGCCACATGAATAATATACGTTATGCTAACTTCAGTCCTTTTTCGGAACTCCTCTTCGAAAAATATTTTTAGAATAAATTTTTTTTTTGCCTTTGTAGGCAGACGAGCATACGGCCCACCTGCTGGTGAGTGGTCACCGTCGCTCGTGGACGTCAGCAATGCCAGGGGCAGAGCCAAGCCGCTGCCTACCATAAAGCACTCTCCGCAAGCCTCGTTTGAAGGAAGACATGTCATAGTGCTCGGAAAACACCGTGGAGGGGAGTTCATTCCAACGCCGGAGGGCACGTGGCAAAAAAGATCTTTGGAAACGCACTGTCGATGAACGCAGCGGTTCCAGATAATATGGATGAACTCTGCTCCGATGGCGGGAGGTGCGATGATAAAAAGGAGATCAGAGGATAATCTCGAATAATTCCTCAGAGCATTTCCCATGGACCATACGGTATAAAACACAGAGAGAACTGAAGTTCCTCCGTAGACCCAGAGATTCCAAACGATCCGTGAAAGCGGGATTATCGACCATCCGAACAGCCCGTTTCTGTATGGAGTCAAATGGAAGTAGCTGGTATTTGTAAATTGTAAGAAGCCTAGATTTTTAAACACGATAGAGATTAAACATAGGTGTTCTAAGCTTAAAGATTGTGTAGAGCGGTTGTACGACTAACTCATATTTGCGATATTATTGCTAACAATTTTTCTATATTTTGTATGATGATTTGAAAAAGAAACATAAAGAGCCCCAGTATAAAATTGTCACGTTTGTAAAAAAGGCAACAAACGAACCTATCTGTATAGTATCAAAAAAAGGTAATACCATGGCATCCCTAAGAATGCATTTTGCATATTATTATATTTTTACACGGTTTAGTTGGTGCTAAAGATAACTAGACTAAGTTTTATAGCATCGCTTGTTAAGGATAATGGCACAGTCTTGTAACATCACGATTCACGACTATAAACGAGCTAAAGCTGGTCACCCTGAAATACTGTAAACGTCAAACGAAATTAAAAACAGTTTGTCTGTGGCTTCAGGCTTAGAAATGAAAATCGTTCAAAATGGCTGAGACGGAAACCGATAATAGTAGTGTAGTTAGAGCGGAGAGAAACAACAAGAGCAATAACAATGGCAACGGGCCACGACGCGTTACTATATACAAAACGGAGACCGGGTTTGGTTTTAACGTCCGCGGCCAAGTGTCTGAGGGTGGACAGCTAAGATCGATCAACGGGGAATTGTATGCTCCTCTGCAGCATGTCAGCGCCGTGCTGGAGAACGGAGCGGCTGAACAGGCCGGCATCAGAAAAGGAGACCGAATATTAGAAGTGTGCGTATTCAAACCTCTCCATCAATTTATTGTTTTTAATTTAATATGTTTCAAGAGGTCAAATTTAAATGAAATAAAATTCTTAAAAATAATTCATGCTATCTTCTCTATTCCGATTAACTAAATACTATGCGTTATGTAGATAGCTATAGTTTGTTTAACACAAATATAACATTTACATAATGTATGATGATTCACAAACTAGTTTCTTGTCATTGTTGGGATACGTTAAACTTTGAATCTCATTTATTATAATGAAAAATTATGTACTGACTCACGAAAAGTGTAATTGTAGCATTTTCAATGTTGAAACTATGTCATAACCCATCTGATGTTAGGCACTTACTAACATCTAGAAAGCACCACAACTNCACAAATATAACATTTACATAATGTATGATGATTCACAAACTAGTTTCTTGTCATTGTTGGGATACGTTAAACTTTGAATCTCATTTATTATAATGAAAAATTATGTACTGACTCACGAAAAGTGTAATTGTAGCATTTTCAATGTTGAAACTATGTCATAACCCATCTGATGTTAGGCACTTACTAACATCTAGAAAGTACCACAACTGTGTTTTCAATTGGAATATCTGCTATCCTACTCTTTAGCTTCAAATGATACCTAGAAGAAGAACTTGATAAGATAATGATAATAACCTCTATAAACTCAATATGACAATCAGGCAAATTGTGTACATGTAGTAGCAGTGATCATACTTATTTTCTGCTATTTAGTAAACATGCCTATGCAATTCAAAGGGGAGGAAGCCATTACATGTTACAAATAAATCAGCCCTATATGTCCCTGGTAGTTCTCATATTTTAATCCCTAAAAACTTTGGAACCATTTAAAACCTTGGCAATGAGTTTGTCCAACCATCTAATAAACTAAACAATACACATTTTAGCTGTAACACTTTCTGTTAGGAAGTAAACAACTATTATGTGTAGTATTATTGGTAATAATAATACAGTCAAAACCGTTTACTGCAACATAGTTTAAAACAACATGTCGGTTATAATACCCTAGAACAAAGGTCCCGGCTGAATGCTATATGACCGCCTTATTAAAAACATTGCTTTATACGACATTGCTAATAACGACATACCTCATAAAACGACCACATTTAACTAATATTTCGGAGATCTGTTAGAACGACCGGCTAAGCTGTATTGTAAACAATTTGAATAGGTATCCACATTAGTCTCCAATGGCTATTAAAATCAGAAAAGAAAACAATAGGATTTAGTTTAGTGTAGGGTTTTTTCTAATTCTTAGAAACAAAACACGTCCATGTGGTAGAGTCAAATCCCGCTTCTTCATATCTCTTCAGTTAGTTTGTTACTTATCTATACACAAGACGCACGAAAACTTTGTGGAGTTATTCGTGAAACTTTCAAAATGTCGCAAAGAAAAAGAAAACAAATTAATATTGAAGAAAAATCACGTATTATGTAAATATATTTTTCCAATAATTCCTATCGATTTGTTTGTACTTGCACGATACACATTAAACATCACCGGTTGTTACGACTATCGGTTTTTACGACAATATGAGCAGCCCCTTCGATGTTGTTATAACAGATTTTGACTGTATAATGTAATTAGATGTGTTTAAGACTAAAAAATCAGTTAATAATGTGAGAAATAAATTTGAACTTGTTCAGTATTAAAAAAATCTAATGTAAAAACTAACTATTGATAAAGTGATTATAAGAAAATGATCAGAGGCTTAAAACTATGTATTTTGTTTTCTGAATCAATACACATAATGTGGAGTGTGCTTAATCACAATTCATTATCTATGCTACATTGAAATTGGTGACAGTTGTATTGAATTTGCTGGGTTATATACTATGATATATTTTTTGTACATTACACACATGCACATCCATATGCAGCAACCAACATCTATTCTTATACACACACTCTTATATAAGTAATATCAACTTGTATAAATTGACTGAGTAAAGTATGAAAAAATATTCCAAATCATATTTCCGCATCCAATATTACCACAACAATAGGTTATTCAGAACATACTTTCGTAATATCTATATCAAGAACAAGCACTTGTTTGGTATCAGTTTGACTTATGAAAATATGGCTAGATTTTTCTTGTTTTTTACTGCATATATTATTATGTATTTTATAAACAAACCATCCATTTATCTGGCTATTACTTTGTAATTTAGATCACTCTGAAGATGATTTATCTGCCTGCGCTTTGATTAATTTGCTCTGGTTTCAAGCATATGCTATAAAATGCCAACTTAGTTTTAAATTTAAAACTGGAATATCAATGAAGAAGTTTTTATTGCACAGCTGTACATAATAAGTACACTGAAAAAGTATTTTTCAATAAATTCTTATGGAATTCAGTTACTTCTGATAGTTTCCTTCGCCAAATATTGGGAATGAAAGATGAGCTTCTGAAAACTACAAACAATGATACATTTGATAAATTAACCTCAAAATGCTACATTAGAAAAAATTATTAATTATTAAGTTAGTTAATAAATTTACATGAAGGTAGTTTTTTTTATTGCTTAGATGGGTGGATGAGCTCACAGCCCACCTGGTGTTAAGTGGTTACTGGCGCCCATAGACATCTACAACGTAAATGCGCCACCCACCTTGAGATATAAGTTCTAAGGTCTCAAGTATAGTTACAACGGCTGCCCTACCCGCATTACTGCTTCACGGCAGAAATAGACAGGGTGGTGGTACCTACCCGCGCGGACTCACAATAGGTCCTACCATCAGTAATTACGCAAATTATAATTTTGTGGGTTTGACTTTTATTACACGATGTTATTCCTTTACCGTGGACGTTAATCGTGGACGTTTGTTGAGTACGTATTTCATTAGAAAAATTGGTACCCGCCTGAGAGACCGGTGCATCGCTCAACACGAATGCACCGGACGTCTTATTCTTTAGGCCACGACGGCTTTAGAACTTCATTCAACTTCAGAATCTATTCCATTTCGCCTAGTATACAAAAGAAAAAATGTATATTACTATTGCCACAGGGGATAATTCAAGAATGTGTAAGCAATAAAACTATGGTGACAATTTAATTTTCGCGTCCATAACATTTTGATTGACTTTGGTTTTCTTGTATTGCCGTCTCCCATGGACTTCTAGGGGCTGAGCTTGGCTCATTGACAGTAATGGTAGGCAGAGGCTTGGGCCTGCTCCTGTCTACTACCATTACTGTTGGTCAGCTGGTCAATAAAATGTACACAATATAAAATTCTTGTACATTTTGTTAAGATTCATTCAACATTCGGCTTGAGTGGGGATGATGGTGGTCAGGACGCATTTCAATAAATATAATTGAATTTTCTGTATGCTCTTTACGTCGTATTACACTAACAAAGTCAGTCCTTTGACCATTAATCATCTGGATACTACAAGTCCTTGTAGAAATTAAAAGCTATATTTGCATTATTTCTTAAATTAACTGCCATATTTTTGAAAGAGATATTTCTGAAAGAGGCTGTTCCTAATATAAGATTCAAAATGCAAACTCTTTTACTGGCAACAAAAGGTAATAGAGTCATACATACTTGGTACATAATAGGCGGTCATATTGCTTTTAATCAACATTCCTCATTGTACTAGGCTGTTCAATTTAATAGCAATATAAACAAATGTTATCATTAAATTATGTGCTCCAGACGTATACATAACCTTGTTTCGATAAAACGTCAATGCGCGGAGTGCATTGCAAAAGCTGTATCGGGGACAGTGGCTCTGCGCCTGTTCCTATGTAGTAGTACTATTGCAACATTAAATATCGCAATGTTTCACTGCAAAATGATCTAGATTCGTATTTTCTATGTTTGTCACAAATCGGAAGCTGTGAAACGAATGAAATAATGTAATGTAAATGATTTACTCTTGAATTAAACTCATTAATGCCCACCTTGTACTCAACTATCCTCAAGGTAGAGACGAAATCCGTAAAAAATGATTCGCAAATGAATAGATAGTTTCAGTGCTACTTCGCTAATATTTTGTGTCTTGAAAGAAGACAAATAGGGGTAGGTACCACCATCCTGCCTATTTCTGCCGTGAAGCAGTAATGCGTTTCGGTTTGAAGGGTAGGGCAGCCGTTGTAACTATACTTGAGACCTTAGAACTTATATCTCAAGGTGGGTGGCGCATTTATGTTGTAGATGTGTATGGGCTCCAGTAACCACTTAACGCCAGGTGGGCTGTGAGCTCGTCCACACATCTAAGCAATAAAAAAAAACCATTAATTATGACTAGTGGTCCCGCAGCACCTAATCGAAGTTCGACTATAATTGAAATTATAAGTTTAATAATTGTTATGGTTTTATTATCAAACACTATTATACTTCTAATATAATCACAGATTTCGCCAAAACTACACTATAGATAAATAATATTAAAGACAAACAATATTAATCTATTCTCAATTTGACCACAGACTTTAAACAATAACAAAAGTTTGACAATAAACAAAGAGTATATGAATTATATATGTATGTGTTGTGTCAAATACATGGTAGTGTGTGTAATGGTTTTTTAATTGATTTTATTTAATTGTAATCATAATTTAAAAAAAATATTAGCATTCTGCACTCCTCTATATTCTCTATAACTGTAGGAAATTTCATACTCCTCCGTCCGCGCAATTTTCGTAAAAAGGGATACGAAGTTTTTGCTTCACGTATTAATATGTACGTCGCTCCACCATTCACATATAGTTCTTATCATCAACAATTATCCGAGTAAAATACCTGTGACACAAATTCAGAAACAGATTGAATTAATTTAAACGAGAGGTTTGTGTTTTGTAGCTACGGAACTCTAAAAAGGGAGGGTACTTTAAAAGTAGAGCTTGTTTACCGGTATTAAGAATATCAGGAATAAGTCCTCACCTCGAGTTGATGTTACACAACACCTGTGTTGTGAAATCTCACAGCTCACTTAAGACATTCTTTTTTAAATATCACTATTAATGTTGAAGATAGCGTTACCGACTGACGGTTATAATGTTCAATAATATGCATTGTCTGTACGAGCCCGGATATTCGAGAGGGAGAATAGAAAATCGAAATGGCTATGAACCACTCAATATGAGGTAATGTAAACCGTACTTTACTTTGTTTGGAGATCATTTTTGTTTGGTTTTTGGTTCATGGGAATACCGAAAACCGTTCTTTGTGGTGCTTTTGAAAATCTATTAATTACGTTTATAATAAGTTATTGTGTTTCATCCCTTGCTATCTTTATTGAGTTTACAATTTCCGACGCTGCGTTCAACCTAGACCACTATATTGATTACGCAAGATATTGGTTGTCATTTAGAGGTCTACATTCCTATGGAGTATATAGTGCGGCCAAATCCTTTGACCAAATAAGTCAACTTCTGTTTTTGCCAATGATGCAGTAGTTGCGATTTAAGTCGAGAACCTTTATAAAGATAATAAAATATTGCATAGACAGTTGCACGAGTTCATATGATTTTTAACCAGTTCTAACCGACGCCCTGTTGCCTGCCCTTATTTATGAATATTGCGATAACAGCTAATAGCTGTTAAAGTAGCAAATAGTGGCTACATTATTAATGCAATGTGAGCTTATTCTAAAAACCTATTTTATTCGTTATCTGGTATCGCCGGCTTGTGTCCATTCCCTTAAAGTTTCTGTGATTGAATCAAATGTGTTTGATGGGTACTTTTCGTAATGTAGCGCCTTATTTGTGGTCTTATTAGGAAAAAAAACCATTAAAAGGTGTACAGTTGTAATTCTAATTAAACTGAGATTTCTGGAGCTTAAGACAGGCAAGGCAAGGCAGAAATTGATCTTAAACTGACCGATGTTTTTCTAAACGCCGGGTAGGTATTGAGGTCTTTTGATGGTTCGTGGTCTTAAAGATAACATGAAAAGTTTTTTTTTTTTATGATTGAAGGATTACTGGTGGCCCGGAGGCCTTTCCAGTTTCACCAGGACAGGAATATGAAAAGTATCGATATGAAACTGTGCGACAACTAGGCTGAGGACTGGCTACCCGTTAAACAGTATGTGTTGTAGTTGAGTGTAGTTGCTGCCGCAGATGCATGTCGGGCGCGTGACCCTGATATATTTTTAATTTTTATGAATGAGGGATTATTAGTGGCTCGGAGGCCTCTCCAGTTTCACCAGGACAGATGAGCGAGCAAAGGCTCAGCCAGGAGAGGGATTTGCTAACAACTGCCCGAGCGCCTCCAAAGGAGATCTAAGAACTCAAAGGCAGCTGCTTTGCGATTGAATCTGCTACCAGACGGGAATCGCGAGCGGGCTGATTTTAGGTTAGATAGCACGTCGAACTCTTTGACGAGTTCGAGGAGTATGGCTACCGGGGTTCCTAAATCTGCTCCTAGTGTTACAGCAGAAAGCGTCTAATGCAAGGGTTATTGGAGCTGATAGATCCGTAAGGTACGTGTCTTGACACTGATGCTGAGTTGCCAGTGCGCTGTTTACTTTGAATCCTAAAGTAAAGCAATAACAAAAACATTATCACTCTGGTATTTCCGCTTCTTATCACCAAACGTACTTCACGTACTGTCTATTAACATAACCTGTTTTTATGTTCGAAGTAAATCACGTAATACAATTTTAATTACGTTTCAAATCAGCATCGATCATTCGTTGTTAGTCCAACCGCAACCGATAACATTCTAGTTGCTGCAAAGCGACGACAAATCGAACCGAAATCGGTCATTTGGAATCATTATCGATTCATAACTGTCGTGAAATAGCCGTGTGCTTGTTACGAACTGTATATTGTAATGTAAATTTTTGTGTGTGCTTCCTTGGCGTTACGTGTCAATGTTTAAATTTTTCGAGCGCAGTGGGAGATGGCAGTGCATAGAGGTGGAAATGGGAACTTTAGATACTCTTACTATTATTGTGAAAACACGGGCTTTGAGATTTATGACTTGGAGGATGAAGGAAAAATGACTAACCGGTAATATATTTTTTTTATTTGTATTGCCCACCTGGTGTTAAGGTGCTACTGGAGCCCATAGACATCTACAACGTAAATGCGCCACCCACCTTGAGATATAAGTTCTAAGTTCTCAAATATAGTTACAACGACTGCCCCACCCATCACACCGAAACGCATTATTGCTTCACGGCAGAAATAACCAGGGTGGTACCCGCGCGGACTCACAAGAGGTCCTACCACCATTCATATGATCATTTTGATCATTGTGGTCATTATCTAGATCAATAAAATTAAGCCCACACTGACGGTTATATGAATAATATATTTATTTGTTTTTCCTTTGACAATTTCAAGATAGTGTTACTTCTTTCTTTTTTTCCCTACCTATTCTAGTAACCTTGTGGGGTAATTCTAGATTCACCGAGCTAGTAGGTAAGCTCACGGGGCTCAAACCGGGGGTGTTTGCTAACACTGGCCCTAGCAAGGACAGTGCTTCGCAGAATCTACCACCGGAGGAAATGCGACACACTGAAAACATCCGGCGATAATAATAATAATAGCCACGGAAAAGTGACACATGGTCATCAAGCCTCAAACAAGAATATCCTGTACTATGATAACCCGAGTTTAAATATATTCATTTGTAGATATTAAAATATCCAGAAAAAGAGCAAACAAATCTGTTCATCACACGAAAGTTTGCCCGATGCGAACAATCGAACCCACGACCCACGCCCTAATTACTGCACCACCGTGTCAGTCAGTCAAGTAGCTTTTGGGGCCGTCGAATAGGAATGTTAGTACTCCAAACTTCACGACTATTAATGAAACTTTATTTATAGCCGTGATCTTTAATAGGGATCTAAGATATCATATGAAGCTGGAGTCAGAATTAATATGGAAAATATATTGTTATTATTTTACAAAAATGTATGTTCCATGGGGAGTGTTCTGAGGAATTGTTCGAGATGATACCGTCATCTCATTTTTACCATCGCACCGCCGGCCACCGGAGTAGAGTTCATCCATACTACCTGGAGCCACTGCGGTCATCCACAGTGCGTTTCCAGACGTATTTTTTGCCACGTACCATCCGGCTATGGAATGAGCTCCCCTCCACGGTGTTTCCCGAGCACTATGACATGTCCTTCTTCAAACAAGGCTTGTGGAGAGTGTTAAGCAGTAGGTAGCGGCTTGGCTCTGCACCTGGCATTGCTGAAGTCCATGGGTGACGGTAACCACTCACCATCAGGTGGGCCGTGCGCTCGTCTGCCAACAAGGGCAACTAAAAAAAACCCATCAACACATTTTGATGACGCGCGTTCTACTTGGAGATTCCAAGTTTTTTTATATTTAATAGCTACGGAAATTTGATGCTTTCTGATATCTATGGGCCATATGGCGGGTTCTCGGAAATACTTGAATATTTTATTCCGCTGCTTTTTAGGAATATAAAAGAGAAAATACGCATCGAAACACAATATTCATGACATAAAGGCGATAAATAAAATTGAATTGTAATTTTATTGCCGCGAAGCAATAGAACATTTGTTCTGTAAGGTTTTATGTTTCGTACGCCCGATCTTGTAAATTAATGAATAGATTTAACAATGAAATTCAATGTGTAAACTAAGACTAATACCGTGCTTTGCCTTCTACTGTCTGCTAAAATAAGCACCATAGTGACAATTATCTACTCCAAGTATGCACTAAACATTTTATTAAATAAACAGTGACATATTTACCTTACAACCTCAATCATAACAACATTTTACCACCTTATCTATACTAATATTATAAAGAGGAAAGATTTGTTTGTTTGTATTGAATACGCTCTGAAACTACTGAACCGATATGAAAAATTCATTCACTGTTTGGAAGCTACACTATTCCCGAGTGACATAGTGACAGGCTATAATCCTTTTTGAAAAAAATTAGGACTAAAACTCTAATAATGTAATCCAAGGTGTAAAAAATTACCTAAAATATTCTTTATATCGCGTGCCCTGCGAAAACTATTGATGATAGAATAAAATAATGTACTACGACTTTGTAGAACACATTATTATTTACAAAAAGTGTTGCGACAGCATTTGTCTAACTATTGTAGTTATGCCGCAATAAGTGTTCTTTTATTTAAAAAAATAAAACAACGTCAAATATCGTTGAAATTTTTGTTAAAGACCCGAGCGGAGCCGGAGCGGGCCGGTTGTTATTACTAAAGAAGCTTACAACACATATTTATCACTCACTGTAACTTCCTGAAGACTGATCAACTTCTTGACACTTCTTCGAACGAGGTTTGAAACGAGTCCTTAGTGGTGGAGCAGCGACTCGACTGTTACTCGTATTTCAAAACCTACGTGATGGTGAGTGGTTACCGTCGCCCATGGACTTCAGCAATGCCAGGAACCAAGCCGCTGCCTACCAATGAACCACTGAATTCCGTTTACTTGAGTTAAAAAACCGTTCCCTCTTTGATTTGTTGCTTTACACTCGTGACCGAAGACTGAAGTAGGTACCTCATGCACGAAAGGTCACAAGTTCGAGCTTGATCACGCACCTTATCTAAATGCTTAAGGAGCGACGCTTTGGTGCGATGTTTTAGTTTATACCCATATAACCTGTACTCTTCAACCAGCGTTGTCACGATATTCGTATTTGGTTACAGCAATGGCGTGAACGTGGAAGGCTCGACTCACAGACAAGTGGTGGACCTCATCAAGTCCGGTGGCGACTGTCTCACTCTCACAGTCATTTCAGTCACACAGAGGGTAGGTGTCACTGATCCGTATGTATTTGATAGCGATTATCTTCGATAACCCTCGAAATGATATCATAATCATGCTTAATCTGTAGTTGTATAGTAGTATTGTTTAACCCAAAAAATGGAAAGTCCCGTGTATGTATTATACTAAAAATGAAAATGGCGTTAAAAAGGGATAGAGATATTAAAGGGGATGGCCCATTTTAGGCCCAAAGCGGACAATAGATTATAGAAAAAATACTTAGTGCATTAATTTTGTCATAAATAAATATGCATTTACTTTCTTGCAAATAAGCGCCACTATAGTTTACAATAAGTAGTTTAAAAAAAGTAACTCTATTGAAAAAACAAGGATTTTTATTTTTGCGGGAAAAATGTTGCCAGCTTCAAATCCTTTTACGTATGAAGTAAATATTTTGAGTATATAAATAAAACATATAAATAAATCATTTTAAGTATTATCATTAATCAATCGATTTTAATGGATTTTATGCACATAAAATAACATCGAAGACATACCCATTGGACTTTAACTTGGAACTTGTATACTTGAGACCTTAGAACTTTTATCTCAAGGTGGGTGGCTCATTTACGTTGTAGATGTCTATGGGCTCGAGTAACCACTTAGCAACACCAGGGTGGCTGTGAGCTCGTCCACCCATCTAAGCAATAAAAAAAACTTTACTAGTATTGTTATTTAAATATGTACAACTAAAACAAAAACATAAAAAATAATG